TGGTCTGCACCGGACCTGTTTTCACAGGTCGAACGACACAACGTTCGACCCGTCGACCTCTCGGTGTTCTGCCCGAAGATGTGGGTCATGTATAGACCCGGTCCAGGGATCATCTCAATGGCCTATACCCTAGGGATCCAGTCGTACCTTCTCAGGTACGGTGATTGGAGACTATTTATGTAGACTTTGAGGGTCCAATTACCTTCTGAGAAGGTATGTGGATCCCTAGGGAATGGCTATAGTCCAAAGATTTGCCTCCAGTTGTTTTGCAGAAAGATGGATGGCGATCAGGCAACATAGAGTTTTTTGGTCCAAGTCGGCGCAAATAACCTTTCTCTTGGGATTGGTTTCCCCGCGAAACATGATTATACATATGTTTACCAGGACCTTCAAAGTGACCTTTTGAGATCCCAGAATGAGGTCACTTAGTCCCTGAAAAGGTCACTTACAGACTCCAAAGAGGTCACTTTGAAGGTCCTGGTGCCTTTGTTTTCCATGGAAACGGCTTGAGAGTCAGAAGCCGTCAGTGGACACATGAAATCCCGATGCCAAGGTTCTTCAAAGAGGCACGAGATCGGTCAACCGGGCGCAGATCGTTTCAGAAAACGACGCGAATTCAGGGGCCTTGGTGCGGCATGGATAGGGTCCTACCCCAGACACTCCATGGGACTGCCATATTTGCCGATCAGTTTGGTTGGTTTGGGGGGAAGTGAGGATGATCTTTCGCTTCTGAAGGTGAAGAGGAGCCTGCCCTTTTTTCCTTTCACGAATGCTCGTCATGCAAGGATCCCTGACGGTTGGATATTGGGTTGAAGGAGAGAAGGTTGTTTTGATATGTTTTGATCATATATATATATATAACATATATGTCTGACCCACAGGGCGTTGCAACTTGAACAGTTTTTGTGTTTTTGCCAAAACCCTTCAAGTTTGTTGAATTGGCCTGATTTTGTTATTTTATGCCACCTTATTTGTTCGACATGTAACACCTTTTTCCCCACCTGTCAGGTGAGGGTTGTTAGTTGTTAGATTTTACGTCAGCCCCATCTCCTCCTTCTCCTTCTCCTTCTCCTCCGCGTCCTCCTCCGCCTCCTCCGCCGGACCTCAACCACGACCATCCGCGCCCAGTGTTCCCTCCAGGCCCAAGTGCTCCCTGTCGGACCTCAACCACAGGACACAACCACAATCACAAACACACAATCACAAACACAACCACAAACACACAACCACAAACACATCAACCACAAACACACAACCACAAGCACACAACCACAGACACAACAACAAACACAACCAGAAACACACAAACCACAAACACAACACCACAAACACACAACCACAAACACAACCACAAACACACAACCACAAACACAACAACAAACACACAACCGACCACAAACATAACTAACAACAAACACACAACCACAAACACAACCACAAACACAACCACAAACACACAACCACAAACACACAACCACAAACACACAACCACAAATACACAACCACAAACACACAACCACAAACACACAACCACAAACACACAACCACAAACACAACCACAAACACACAACCACAAACACACAACCACAAACACACAACCGCAAACACACAACCACAAGCACACAACCGCAACCACACAACCACAATCACACAACAACAAACACACAACCATAAACACACAACCACAAACACGCAACCACAAACACAACAACAAACACACAACCACAAAAACACAAACACAAACACAACAACAAACACACAACCACAAACACAACCACGAACATAACAACAAACACACAACCACAAACACACAACCACAAACACGAACACAAACACACAGTCACGAGACACAACCACAACCATAAGCACAACTACAAACACACAATCACAAAGACACAACCACAACCACAACTACAAACACACAATCACAACCACTACCAGTATCACAAACACAATCACAAAGACACAACCACAACCACAACTACAAACACACAATCACAACCACTACCAGTACCACAAACACAATCACAAACACACAGCCACAAACACAACTGCAAACACATCCACAAACACACAATCACAAACACACAGCCACAAACACACCATCACAAACACAACCACAACACAGCACACAACCACAACCACAACACACAACCACAGCACACACATCCCGAGGACCCACAAGCAAAATCGACAACTACAATACTCACGACAATGGCAACATGCTCCTCACTATGGCATCAAGACAAAGGATTGAATTGTCATGGTGGGGATCACTCGAAGTAAAGTAATTTTTGTTCCGCTGAAGTATATAACGATTGAACTTTACCATTCATAAGAAGAGATCCACCCCACCGAAGCGCATGGTTCGAACGCCGCATGGTTCCGAAGACAAAAAAGACATCCCGAGGGTCGAACGCTAACCGTGCGTTCTCACGACGTGGAGATCAATGTTGCGAAACTGCGAAACCAATGTCTCGTACGGGGACTGGAAGAACCGGGACTTTTCGAAAAGGTCCGATAGGAAAAGTGGATAGTCTTCAATAATAGTCTTCAAACTTTTTTGAGGGGTTGGGGGGATCTCCACTAAACATGAAGACGCGAAACAAACTGGAACCGCCACAAGAATCCTCAAGAATATTGGCAATTGAAACTGGACGGGACCAGATTCTTAGGGCGAGATTCGTGAACAATGGCATGCGGCATAAACAACAATTGGTTTCTTGAAGAACAAAACTTCGTTTACAGCATGGTTCATCCATATTCATCCATTAATACAATATTTTTAAGGGCTTACGCCCGGCAGCCGGCCAGGGGCCCATCCATGTATGACACAGCTTGCAGAACATCCATTTGCTGACGCCAGCAGAAAGTGCCACCGGATATACTGTGGCAAAAGCACACGTTCTAGCTCTGCAGCAATGCAGAGAGGGAGAACTTGTGCCTGATGGTCAGCAGGTTGAATTGGCAAGGAGCTTTGTGGCTTTTACCCGAGCAAAGGGGCATCTGTGGATTTGGGTTCAAGCACTGGAGCTTGCAGCTGGTGAATGGACAGCAAAGCTGCAGCAAGCTGTTGGAGGCACTTGCCACATGACTTGCATGGTCTGCGGACTGGCAGCTGCTGCGCCAAGCCCTAGCGGCCGAAGCAGCGGCACCCGCCTCGCGCGGCGCCGCCAGCGCCATATGTGCTCTACGTGGAGGACTCTTGTCTTTGCCGACTTCGTCCAAGGGAGTTTTACGTGAACAATACGGCTGATGACTCTGTTAAGAAAGACGCTTTTTTAGAGTAGACTCTAGATTATTTCTTAACTATAACCTTTTAATTAAGAAATGCGGCTAGCAGGTAGACTCTAAATAAGGTTTCTTATTCTATTTTCTCTCCCTCGAGCTCTAAATCGCTCAACCGCATCGCTATGCGCATGGTCTTCGACTTCTTCGACCCGTATCCGCGGATGTTGTATCATGTTCTATCATGGTATAATGCTCAAGAATCTGAGATGAGGGGAGGGAGGGAGGGAGGGAGGCTCAAAGTTGAAGGCTGTGATGGGACTTCTAAAGAGTTTTAGAACAGTTTCAGACCACCCGAGAGGACAGGTTGGGGACAGTGTTTTTTGAAGCAGATTTAAACAAAGTGAAGCTTTTGCTCTACGTACGTATCATGGAAAGGGGTCATAGATGATGTCAAGTTTGTCATTTTACACCTGCACCCTGGAGATCCAAGGGTCATTGTCTAAAAGCGGATGTTTGATCGCAAGATTAAATAATGCGGCCCTTGTGCCGCGTCATTCCATGTGGGGTCTGTAAGTGAGATACGTACGGGGGTCTACAGGATAATGAAGGCTCGCTTTTAATTCGGTACCATTATGGTCGTAATTCGGTGCGTCCAATAGTACCTATTTGCGGCCGTAGTGGTACCGAATTAAAAGCTCCTCTTCATGCATCCACTCCATGTTCTCCAATAACTTCCGATGACCATCAGTGACCATATCACTTTTGCAGCTCCACATGCGTTTTGTGCTGACGGTTCGGAACTTCAGGTTTTTGAGCCAAAAATGTAAGTTCTGAACCTTTTTGGAAGCAAAGTGGCACCACGGATGTTGTATAACTTCAACATCCAGCGCACGGGCGAGGCATATCTTTTCAGCAGCCAAAGTTCCAGCCACTTTATGACGGGTGAATCTCTAGTGCGTTGTTTGAAGGGCGCGGAGTCACCAGCATTTGAGATGCAAAGGCGTCGGCTCTTTGTGAGCCATTCTGATCGTGGATTCATGCTGCAAAGGACCTTGCTTAAAATGGGCTACGTTTTGTCAGAAAAACATTAACATTAACCCAAATGACGCCAAGGAACACCCAAATTTGTCTACAATGTGTTAATTGTTCTGTAATCATTCCCATCCCCACACACAGGCCACAAAAAAAAATCAACAAAAACATGCGATAAACCCAGGCAAAACATACAGTTTACCAACGATATTTACACGGTTTTGCGCGGACTCACCTGCAAAACATTTATATTTCCGCTGTTTTTGTAGCATTGCAACATATTGTTTATGTACTCGAACATATCCAAAAACACCATAATTTACAGTGTTTTACGCCTTCGCGCATACCGAAAACACATCCCAACTTCTGCTCCAAACGCACCTGCTAGACGGCGGGCGTTTTCACCCGAAACCAGCACAGCTCACGTGCCGAACGTGTGTCCGTGCGGTTCCGAACGGGTGCCGGGCACTCTGAAGAAACAAACGAAGATGACGGCTCCGGGATGGACAATCCCCAGACACTCCATGGGACTGCCATATATGCCTACATTGACCCCCAAAACCACCCCAATGTAGGCATATATAGCATACATGGAGTGTCTGGGATCCATCACAAACAACCAATCCATCGATCACCCAAGCAAAGCATACAGATTACGCAAAGGCTCAGGGTAGGGAGGGGTATCCTATATCCTATACCGATACCGGTCACACTTAACAGAACACTTATCCCCCACACCCACGCCTGCCCCACTCGGTTTACGCGTATAAGCATACCAGTCATGAGTGCGGTTGGTGGATGAAAATTTCGATTTATGTTTTTCCTTGAGGTTGAACCCTCGTGGCTTGACATAATATCCAGCATGCTTGGCCAAGTCTTCGAAGATGCTGATGCTTGATGTTTTGGGCAGGACAAGATCGTGTTGCGCTACAGGACTGTCAAGGTCAAACACGGCGGGAGTACCACAAACGTTTTTGTTTTTCACTTGTATCCTTTTCCTTGCACCTGACTTTTGGCAGGGGTCCGGGCCCGAGCCCTTCCCCTTGGAGGGCCCCGGATTCTCAGGGTACTTGGACAACTGTTATGTGCTCATTGGAGTTTGCTGCTCAGATATTCTACACCCACGAATCCATGTTTGTAACTTGGTCCTTCAACCTTACAACATGGCCCTATTCGACAAGATCGAGTCTCATGAAATCATTGATATAGTTTGGATTTACAATTATATATATATATGTTTAGGATAAAATATTCTCACAAATGCAACCCCGTCTTTGCAAACCCCCCTTTTTTTGCTCTCCTTCCCTCAGCAGCGCAACCATCTTCAGACGTGGACTCTTTGCACCAGGATGTACACTGGCATCACCAAGTGTTTCAAGTTCGAAGAAGGCACTGCGAAGGGCGCTGCGCGCACTTATCTTCAGGGGTTGTCCACTTCCGTTGCAGGGAGAGTAGTTGCAATTCTCGGAACGGAGCACGTAGAGCCTCCGTGGCAGACGGTGCCAGAGATGGCCAGGGTTAGGATGATGAACGCCCTGACACGTCGTGTAGGTATTTCCGAGTGATATTATCAACATGTTGATGCATCTTGCATGCTCATTTAGAGGTGCACAAAGTATGTCATTTAAATTTCATTTATACTGAGGGTGCTCTAATTCTTGGACAAACAGATCGGAATCTCTTGGACAAACAGATCGGTAAGATGGCTTTGGGGGAGGCAGAAGAACCCAGGATGGGTCAAAAACCACAAGATCATATAGCTTGACCATGCTTGAGGTAACGTCGACAAAGGTATCCTGGTGCGACCCACAGCCCACAGCTAGACAATTTGGAATAATTTGGATGCGCATTTTGAGAATTTTAAGACTGTAGATCTACAGGTACTGACCAGCCAAGAGAGGTTAAATGAGTGACCTTATAGTACCCGTAACCTGGGGTGCCCAACAGGGATAGGGTTTTTCAACCTCTGTATGATGTGCAGTCAATGATTCGCCCTCTTTTCCAAAAACGGAGCTCTCCACAAGAACCGCGGTCCACGGGAATACTTTCTGGTGTGCACATTTGGGGCGGCATTTTTTCGGACACGTTTGTCCACCTCCACGCGCGACCGGTCTGACCAGACAGATCTCCTACACTCGCTCCGCGACCTGCGACGCTGCGCGTCCAGGGTTGCAGAAACTCTTCCGCGGATCGAGCCTGAAAGAACGCCAGGAGGCCTGCGATGGCCTGCGCATGACGAAGCTTAAAACCTCCGCTTAGATAAGCTCGCTTAAGACTGGTTTCGCAGCTTTGGGGTGATGTTTATGTTCTTTTTTTGCACGAGTGGAGACGCCATGTGTGCGGTGTGCACAGGTCATCTTTTGGGGTGATGTTTATGTTCCAAGTTCTGCGGTGTGATTTGGTATGACGTTGAGCGGGAAAGGGACTTGATGTCAAAACATGTTCGATCTGGTCGGTGCAGGTTTTGGGTGGCCCAGGTGGCCCACGTCCCGGGTCCAGCAGGATCCCAGTTGTAACGCAGTTCCTTTGCAGTTGACACAGTACACTACAAGCTGGTTTTATGGGAGAAGGTAAGACTACAGTGAATCAATCCTACAAAGCACACTCTCCTACCAATGTGCGAAATAGGGGTCACGCCTCCAAATGCGCTGCAACAGGCTGAAACAAAAACACGCACACACAGATATATATATATATATATATATTGGCCCAAACCTGTTGATCTGAGTGGACATGTGCGCACTGGAAAGTGTGCAGCAGTTTCCCGTTTGGCCTCCATTTGTACCTTCGTTGGGTGCCAGGAGGGTTCTAAAAACCGAACCAGGTTGGAGGTACGACGAAGTCGGTGTAGACTCTTAGCCTAAGACAGGTGGAGGTGTAGACTGTAGAGTCCTGGTAGAGGTACTTGGAGGTGTATAACTTGCAGGTTCTCACAAACACTTGAAAGCCTGACCAGGTTCTTTTTGGAAACCCGCCCAACATCTGAACACATAGAACTTCCCCGGTCCGTGTGTTCGGCCCGCCTGCGACTCTGCTTTAAGCTTCGACCATTAAGAGAATGGGCAAAACATGGGTTAAACATGTCAAACATTTTGTTTAGTAACAATTAGTGTGTTGATATATATATATATATGTTGTTTCGTAAAGACCAGTGGTCAAAGAATCCCAGGTCATTGTTCATAAGTACGTCTCGCATGATGCGCGGGCAGGACCTTCCGGGGACCTTCTGGTACTCGTAACAAGCGGTGGTGTCCGTGCCTGCATTGAACTGTTCGATGCGGATTTCAACGCCTCTTCCGGCGTCAACGCTTGACGCCTCTTACCCGGCGGTTCCGGGTGGCGGCTGGGTTCTCGTGTCACCCCCTTTTACGTACACCGATCCCGATCCGGATCAACGGAGTGTGCGGGCCATCGGCCTCAAACTCAAGAACCCTATACGGATCCAGTCGTACCCTCTGAGGTTCGGTGGGACTGGGGTGGGTGCCAGGAGGGTCCAGTCGTACCGGAACTGCCTCGCGACCAGGCACGGAAGGTTGCAGAAGAGGCTGCGGCCGCTGAGTTGAGGCTGTGGCTTGGTGGCTGGTGAGTCAAGAAACGTTTGATCCATATTATGAAACGGGGATGGTTATTTAGTCACTTGGTAGGGACGTACTGTACATCGGTTCTCCATGATGTCAAGGAGATGTTCTTCAAATTCAGTCACGGGAAGCTGGGGTGGGCCATGGGTTTGGGTTTTGTTGCTCCATAAACCCCAAACACTAATTGGATTCGATCGCGCGGTCGATGTAAAAGGTGCCCGTCTTGACCAACGCACGGCGCAACGGCTCGGCGCAACCAACCACGCGGGCAAATCAATGGATCCCATTGCATGAGTAGTTCATTTCCCTAGGGCTCCAACCACCTGAGGTACGGTGGTTGGGGTGGATGTCAGGGGGGGTCTAACCACCTTTGCAGGATATCGGCCAGGAGCCCTCGGGTTTGGCAAAACATTGTTGTTCGCGGATTCCGAATCTGCTACAGTAAGTGCGTGTTCAGTTCAGTCTTCATCACTTTCAAACCCTGTCAGGCATCTTCAAAGTGGGCAAGACTGATGAATACTACAGCAGTACTACAACAGCATTTGGGTTTCTCCGTCCAGCCGCATGCTGGAACAGTTCTATTTGCTGTCGGGCCATCTACGACCTTCCGTTCGTCCGGATTCCGGTGGATTGACACCCCTTTTTCACCGGGTCTACGAGGCCTATAGACACCGGCCGAAGCTGTCAGTCCTGTGCCTACGGGGCGGTCCACCGGTCCGTTGTTTGTTCTGCACCCGTGGCGGACGCACCGAGACCGGCGAGACCGGCTCGGCGTCGGTCGATCGTTCGACCGTCCATCCGGGTGGTCGGGGTGGTCAGATGGCTTCGTCGAAGGAGTGGATGTTTATGTCCAAAGCCTCTGGACTCACTGACATGGAAAGATGATTCAAAGATCTCCAAACATGGAAGGATGTTCCTTTACCTTTAGCTGACTAGCTCGCGGACCCTTTCAGACGATGTTCCTTGACAGGCTGCTTTCCACTTCTATATGAGTGAGTCAGAGTGTGGTTTCTTTGCGGCGAGATTGGAGACACCCCACTAAAACATGTAGCAGATGATCACAGATGGACAGACAATACTATTTGTATGTTGCAGGGATCGAGCGACCATACGGTCTTGGGAGTGAGGTTGCGTTTGCGTTGTAGTTAGGCGTACCAAGAGAGGCTAAGTGACCGTATACAGGACCCGAGTGAGGTACCTACTATGGGATCAGTCTAGTACCAGCACCTTCCAACAGGTCTCCGGAGGCTGGTAATGCAAACATTTAAAGTCTACCGGTGGTGACCGGTCGACCGGGTCGACCGGGTCCCTGGTGAGGCGGCTCTTTCCCGAGCTGTTGCTGCCCGACAGGCTGAGCCACCGCGTGGGACGGTCGGACCGGCCCGCAAGACGCGGGAGGGTCCGGGGTCGCCGGAGTCACATGGAGTTGGGTGCCGGCTCCAAACAGAGGAAGGAGATCAGGGGGCCCTGTCACATCCACTCACTTAGATACCAAAAAGCACCTCAACATGTAACTCCGGTCCTGCTTTGGTTTGTTCATGTCCTAAACACGACCTGAACATGGGACTGCCATAATAGCCGATCAGTTGGGGTGGTTGACTTGTCGGGGTGTGTGTTGTTCTTGTGGTGATTTTGATTATATTTTATAAACGATTTTGTACGTGGTTGTGCCCAAGAATTGGAACACTGCGGCCCTGCGGCTGACTGATGTAGGAGAATACCGGAAGATGCACAAAAGCAATTCCCAGACACTCCATGGGACTGCCATATATGCTGCCCCAGACAAACTCCCCTGGCACCACCCCTGGCCTGATCGGCAGTCCTATGGCAGTCCCAGACGGGTCGTGATTGGGATTTGATTTGGCGCATGCTTCAAGCATCCTTGGACCCTCCGGGGCAGGGGTCGTAGGTGTTTTTTTCCCGAACGAGAAGGGCCCAGATTCTCAGGGAGAGATTGTGTGTGTTTGTTATGCGGATTGGTTGATGTGTGGGGGAATTCAGATTTCATTCATGCATCCATCCAATCACCCGAAGATTCGGATAGTTGCTGCACCCACTGAGACTGCACTGAGACAGTTGCTAGCACCGACTCTTTGCGACCGCAGCCGGGATTTTGTCCAAACGACTCAGCAGTCGCCGCACCACTGCGCTGAACTCTTTCGCGAATTCTTCCAGAGTGAGGCTGACCATGATGTCGTTGCGCTTGGCTCCTCAACCCGATGTTTGCGGGCGGGCGTGGCCCGTGTTCCGTGCCCTAGGGCTCCTGGCCCACATCCTCAGGTTCGGTGGTTGGGTCCCCACCTTCTGAGGATATGGGCCAGGAGCCAAAACCGGATGTGCAATTGGGTGACAATACAAACTGGGTTTTGGAGGGGGGAGAGAATCCGCGCTCGTGTACCAGCAGCTATGTAGTATGCCCATACACTCCATGAGACTGGAATCAGACTGCCGCCCCGACCCCAGGTCAACAACCCCAAGGTACGCAGTCCTATGGCAGTCTCTGATGGCGGTCGTGTCTGGGATGTGAGATTTCCACCCAATTCCGATATCCGTTCGGGTCGAAGATGGTGCGAATCCCAACCATGTGTGCCACTATAGCGCTCAAATCCGCACGATCGATGGTGAATCATCGCACAGATCCATGTGCGGCCTGCATATACTGAATGAGAGTCCGGATTCCTTTCACGCGGTCTGCAGGATGTCAGGTCTCAGGTGCTTCATGCGGCAGATAAGGCAGTTCTGGGATTAGCTGAGGTTCCTTCACGCCATGTTGAACCCCACGTGGCCTGTCTGTCCATTGTCCATTCGATTTCGGTCTGTTCACGTGGCGCATCGGGTCCGGCCTCAGCTGAGGTTCTTCTGGCCATGTTCATGTTCTTCATGGATGCCGTGATCGCCAGTGAGAACACGACCACCGAGACGACCACCACGACCGAACTCGACGGCAACACGACGCAGGAGAGTTGGTAGCCAGGGGTGGTCCAGAAGAGGTGCTTTTGACCGATCGAGGGAGGATTGCTTGGAGGTGTTCCGGTCCGTGTATCTTAAACCTCAAGTATGTATTGTGACATGACATAGCGTATAATACACATCAAAGTAGATGGAAGCCTGTTTTCTGTTTATAACTTTATCCATGGGTCTATTTTGGGGACCTCACTCTTTCATAGACATCAACAAATTCTAGTGTATCAGTCTCTACTGCCCCTACAGGTCAGTTGGACCTCATTCTACTGGAGTTGGTCATACACAAAGACTACTCGAGTTGAGAAGGTAATGAGGTAAGTGACCAGGTTCGGACTTTTAGGGTACTATGAGCATTCACTTGCAAGAACAAGAAGTCGCCCCCTCGTCGTGGAGCGTTCTGGATATGCTGGTGCTTTGGTCAGGGTGCTGACAGTGCTGACAGCAGGTGCACATCATCTCGGCAAGAGACCCTAAAACATCCCGCCAAACCGTGTGAAGTAGAAGGGATGAGAAGGACACAGACGATGTGGCCAAGCCGAGAAACACACATTATTGGCCATGAGTCAAAACGTTTTGGTATGGAACATGTACTCTTGAACATCTCGTTCCATACCCCGTTCCATACCTGTGGAACAGCATGTTTGTTCGCCGTTCCATACCCATCATTCCATACCTATATATGGGAGTTGATCGAAAACCCCGTGTAAGGAGTTTTATATAAAACAGCTTTTCAGATGTTGTTAGAACCATCCGCGAAAGATTCGCGATGAGGTTCGTGAAAGTATCGTTTTTTTCCGCGAAAGATTTATCGAAGGTCATCGTTTTCATTGTTTTCCTTTCTACCGGACTGACAAAGAATAGAAACGCAAGGCAATCCTCCGGCAGAGCCAGTGGGCGAAGTGTCCCCATGTCACAGACTAACGAACTGAAGCCTCAACCTTTCCGTGCCCAGCCCTGGCAGTGCGTAAAGGATTCTCCGATTCCTGTCCCCACTGTCACATACTAGCAAGCTGGGTAGGCGCAGCCCTGACAGTGAGGCAACGACCTGCCGCTGCTCTGACGGGCTGTGCAGATGTTTGCAAATGTTACGGCGTCCCGGGGAAAGCACCAGTGAAATTTCGCGAATGATCCGCGAAAGTTTCGCGAATGTGCCGCTAAAGTCTAGGTTCCCAGCTTGAGGCCCCAAACATTCCCCAAGCTGCATCACCCTGTGTTGGTAGCTGACACGAGGATTGGGTTGAGTTGTGCCTGACTCTATTTGGCACAATTGTCGCACAGATGCTGCAAGTGACCCTGAGTAGCTGTGGAAACGTTCAACCATCTACAGGGGTCATGCTGCAAGATGTCTCTCCCTATTATGACATGTTCCGGCTCATGTTAGCTAGACATGGTTGTAGGACCATGCTTCGCGATGAGGCCGCGAAAGATCCGCGAAAGATATCTTTTTTTTCCGCGATGAATGGCCATTCCAGGATGAAAGAATATTGATCAACCACCATATGGACTCCTAGTTTACACTTGTTCGAGGTTCAATCAAAACGTGCGCTTTGCTTGCTGAAATACATTTACCGTGAGAAACGGGACTGAGATAATGACACGTCAGGTTTTTTGGCACAATTTGTTCCATACCCCCGTTCCATACCTGTTCCATACCTTATGGAACAAGGGATCCGTTCCATACCCTATGGAACAGGAAGGTGCGCGATGTTCACCTGAGACCCGGGGTTTTGACGCACACCCTGACATGTCTACACATGTCGACTACTGTTTTGGGAGGTTTGCTTCATCGATCAAAGACCGACGTTCTATCTGCCTTTGTGCTAGCTTTTGCTCATATTTGCTTTTAATGAGTGTATTCAATTGTAGAGGGTGACGGTTATTATCCCTTCACTGGAAGAGTTCCCTTCTGTCTTTGACACGTTTAACACGCGACGTGAGGCCGGCTTCGAGTCCGAAGCGCGTAAGATCAAGCCAGACCAGACGATGTGTGGGACTGGAGATTAGTTCACATGAAAACCCCATGAACATGACCCCATATATAGGCAATGAAGTCCCATGGATGGTCTGGGTCATATTTGTCCCCTTCTTACAACGGCTTCGACGGAATTCCGAGCGTTTTCTTCAGGCGGAGACGAGCGATCGCTCCGGAAAAGAAGGGTACTGAACCCTAAGAAGGATCCAGTCGTACCGAACCTCAAGTTCGGTACGACTGGACCCTCCTCAGGTTCGGTACGACTGGACCCAACCCCACCGACAAATAACAGTGGAGACAACACATCACCTTCTGACCAAAATACCTTCTGACAAAGTCCTATGATCCTCGGATCGCTGGGGCTACCCGACCACACGCCCGCGCCCGGCTCGACGCCGCATGACGGCGCCACCGCGCGGAGACCGCGCGGAGACGACGCGGAGGACCCCAACGCGACGACCACAGCAGATAGCGCCGTGCTGGGTCTTGGAGCCCATGCAGCGCCCTCCGTGGCCCTCGTCTCGGACGCTTGGAGTGATCGTCCGGACCGGGCCACAGGGAGATCCGAAGTGTTCAAAACGCTCAAAGGGCTTTGGGGGGATCTCCCTCTTCACATCCACACCCACTGAAGATCCCACCTCAAGTCACATAGTGATGTGACAACGGGGCACCTAACCTCCTTCCTCCGTTCGGAACCGGCACCCAACTCCATGTGACTCCCACTGTAGTACCTTGATGTGCCTCAGCTTTCCTCGAAGTCGCCCCTTCCGATGCGAAGGTGTCCTCCCACCGAACCCATCTTCGAAGTCTCCGCCGAACCCTGCAGACAGTCCCCTGCAGACAGCGCTTGCTTCGCACCGAACCCTGCAGACTTCCGGACCGGATTTGAATATATTTGACGTTTCAGGACCGGACTTCTACTGGGTCAGCTGTAGAACTAAATGGATGCTCATGGCTCCGAGCTCAGAAGACTCGACCTGGGTCAACTGGATCAGGTCAGACGTACGCTTCAGACTGAAACGACGAACGTTTGTGGGACATTTGGTACTCGAAAGTGAGACACAAGGCTACTAGGGGCTCCGGCCTTACTACTAGGAGCAAAAGAAGCTACTATAGGGGCTCCTGGCATCGCTACGAACGGAGCAAGGACGCTACTTGATAGGTTCTTGTTGAGATGGACGAGACATGACGAGACGACGAGACCCCATGGATTCTCTCCCAGACACCGCAACGCGGACTGGTGTCGCACCTGGAGATCCAGAAATGGATGGAACGAAACCCAGTCCCAGCAACTTGGTATGTAAAGGATCTCGATTGCTATATTGATCTTGGAACAACCAGAACTGTTTCTGGTCGGGACTGGATTTCCAGGCATGAGTCCCTGAACCACTGCTTCTGTGGGCGGTCAATATGA